GTGTATAATGATGTGATTGTGATGCTGTTATTCTGAGTGTTTTATGTGCTGCAGAACAGGAACCTGCTGTAAAACAGCAATTATGCTGAGTCAGGCATGATTTTTAATAATCTTTTCCTGTTAAAAAAATAAAATCAATCGTAAAATTTGTTATTAATTTGTTCTAAAATAAGAGTTCACTAAAGGCCAACATTAAATTAGTCRAAGCATAAACTTGCATTTAATCATTTAAATAACCTTATCCTAGCTTGGCTTTTAGTTCAGCAGTTTTGTTGACTTTGGTGCTATTTTTAACTACTTATTAATAACTTTGGTGCTGTTTTTAACTACTTATTAATAATAAAGTGTCATAATATTTTTGGTATAGTCTAAGCTGTTAACTACCTTTCTTTTAGTGCAGCCAGATTGCACAAGAATAGCAAAGTCCCCGATCTCATGCGGGACCTCATGCAGCAGGATTGTCAGGGTGGTGACGAAGCCCACAGCTGGTCCGACCAGAAACGAYGCTCCGATCGCCAGGCCATCAGTGAAATTATGTGTGAAGTCAGCTGCCAGGTTCAGGTAACCCGACACCTTGATATCTATTTTTAAAAAGGGAAATAAAACTTTTTTTTTAAGTTTGAAGGGTTATTATGGTAACATTTTCTTTATGGTCATCAGGCTGCAGTTCACAATCTGACCACCAGAGGAAGCGTCTGAGTTTAACATGCCTTCTACCATCACACTAATAAAAACTTGCTCACCTGTGCTCTTGTTCTCCACTTTCTTTGGTAYTTTTGTATCTTTGTTTCCYGTCTCCTCTTTCTTYTTCTTCTTTTCTTTCTCTTCTTCTCCATCACTGTCTTTTTCTTTAGRAGCAGCTGTTACATAAACAAAGAGTTGCAAAGTCACATCCCTAACACCATAACTCAATCTTTTTGGTTAGAAGTTCAATGTGTTGAATGTAGTGACATCTACTGATCAAATTAAACATTGCAGCTACCTGCATACCCCGGAATCCACAAAAAAAAAAAAAAAATAAAAAAGTTTTCATTTTTTTTTTGAAAAAAAAAAAAAAAAAAAAAAAAAAAAATCTAAAAGTTTCTCTATGGAGCTGCTGTTTGGCTTGGTTTTTCCAGGTTACCATTGTAACACAAGGGATACAGGAAGGGTGGTCAATTTAAGATACGAATCTGTCTAAAGAGAGCTGATGTAATCATGAATTTGTTTCAGTGTACCATGAGAGTGACCGTGACCGTGTCCTCCTTTCAGCAGACGCACAAATTTTTCAACAACCAGGAAGGCGATGATCCCACCCAGAACCCACAAACCTACAGACATCAGGTGACCGTGGGCCGCTCCTGTGGAGGGAGAGGACAGGGAGAACTGGTTGGAACCACAATACATGTTTTTATCACTTASATAAAAAGCAACGACTACCATACCATGGGAGTGACCGTGGCCATGTGAGTCTTCATTTGCATGTGAGTGTCCATGATCTTCATCACCATGATGGGAGTGGGGCTCTATGCAAAACAAAATGACAAAAAAAGCAGTAAATGTCAAAAAGACTAGAATATTTCAAATATTTAAAGCAAATGTTTGAATCCACAGAAACTAAACTTCTGTATTAAATAAACAGTAAATAAGGATTTAACAGCGTGATTAAGCTTTTATAATTAAACARGATCAGAACCAGGTGAAGTTTTAAAATAGGGGAGAAATTAAGAGTATTTTCCACTTTGCATACAAGCAATTGTTTCTAAACGGTTTATAAAATAATGTAAACTATAAAAAACAAAGTTCCTACCAAGAGCATGTGGTATGAGGTGGAGGAAAGCATCACCCAGCAGACCCCCGGAGGCGAAACTCAGCAGCACCTTCAGCAGGTTCTGGTGTTGGTCGCTGTTGGACTGAACGGGGATCAGAAACAGGATGAGGAAAGGAGCYGCGCTGATCAGCAGAGTGGCTCCAACAGCCTGTAGACAACGATAAAAGGAAGTTTACAACTGAGCTTTTTTTTTCCYTGCAAAGAGAAAATATTGAATGAAATTAATACAAAGAATTCAGAGAAAACAGGAGTTAGAGAAGACTGCTCAGTTCCTGATTAAAAACCTGAAGTAGAAGTTCATTTATTGTGCTGTATTAACAACATGCGGGAAAAGACTTTTAGCAACACAAATTTAACTGCTTTCTTTTCAAATATTTTTAAAACAGACTCTTGTATTTTAGCCACACACAAAACAGGATGTCCTAAAACACAGTAATTGTGCTTTCTATGTAAGATTGATTTTTGGGTGGCTGTGTTTGTAGAAGTTTTAATGTTTTGTTCCCAAACTGAATATGAAAAATAAAGATTTATCAGAAKGGAGGACAGATAAATTCAGACTGATACTCCTGGTCTTTTGAACACACCTGTGTCCAGAGCTCCACCAAGTCCCTCTTCCCTCCTTTAGCTTCACTCTTTCTCTTATCTGATCCGTGTGACTGCCCATGTCCATGATCATGAGAGTGTGCGTGTCCGTGATCATGAGAGTGTGCGTGTCCGTGATCATGAGAGTGTGCGTGTCCGTGATCATGAGAGTGTGCGTGTCCGTGGTCATGAGAGTGTGCGTGTCCGTGGTCATGAGAGTGTGCGTGTCCATGATCATGGGAGTGTGCGTGTCCATGATCATGGGAGTGTGCGTGTCCGTGATCATGGGAGTGTGCGTGTCCATGATCATGGGAGTGTGCGTGTCCATGATCATGTCCATGAGGCTCCTCTTCTTGGTGAGGTAGGTTGGCCTCAGCGCTCCACTTGCTCGCTCCGTGGAACATCTTCACCTCAGGGCCATGAGAGTGTCCGTGGTGATCATCCTCGCCATGGGAGTGGCCGTGTCCGTGGTCACCATGGGAATGGCTATGCGCGGAGGAAGATTGACAGGCTAACAGCAGTACTACAGACGTGACKAGTGTCAGTGCCAGCACACGTACACATCCCATATTACTCTCTGTAGCAAAAAAAGGAGACAAAAGTTTTACGTATCTGAAATCCAAAGCACTTTATTGGGTAAAAAAGAAAAGTGTTTGCATCTGTCAGTTTCATSTTGTGTGATTTATTTAGTTTTAATGAGGCACAGAAACAGCTACAGAAGACGAGTTTAATCATGTTTAAGTGTTACAGAACTTCTTCCTGCACCTCCAACTGTTGGCTCCTGTGTATTTGTCAGGAAATCATGTGACTTCATCTTCCAATGGGAACATTACACAAAGATTAAGAAAGTGTCTGGTAATCATTAGAAACGTGTCTAAAACAGCGTTTTTTCCCCACATCTTGCTTATAAACAATAGTCTGTGCAGCAATYAGAACATTTGCTACATTAAAGTTGATTATTAGATGGTTCACTCTCAGTCTCTCCACATTATAATGCTGTATAAAACTATAATAAAGATACAGTGGGTGAATAAGCAGCWGCTTTGAGCACATGCTTATTCAATACGTCTGTTTATAATGTTAATGTTGGACAGATAGGTTTCCTATCAGGTAGCTAGCTTTGTGTTTTGATTGTTTACCTACAGGTTTACCTTCATGCGCAGGGTGTAGAGATAAAGCAGATCATCTTTTTGATTTTCTTTACAAAGAGTCAACGTTTATCTCACAGTAAACAGTGAAAGCCGATCACCAAACACTAATCACTAACTTCAACAAGTTGTTAGACATCCTGCTAGCAAGCTAACCAACCCATGAGCTAGCTTGTTGCTAAACGATTTTCGCTATAAAATGCGGAATACGRTTAAAAGCACACACAATTTAATCTTACCGGATAGTGCCAAATATCACGATTTGTTGTGCAGATAATCAACTCTCTGTCCTTCGTGCAAAAGTCTAATATTTCTGCCAGCCTTGATGCTTCTAGTCAGACGTGGCATTCAATCAAACTCGTTCAAATCTCGCGAGATTTCGCAATTCCAACCTTGTTACAAATACGGATTGAAAATAAATTAACGATTATCCAGTCATAAACATTTCCGTACCCACAAAAACAAATATCTATAAAATACGTTTAGAATCATGCATGGTGTAAAACTAAAAGTGTGACATAATAGAGACAAATGAATAATGAGAGGCCAAAYGAATTATCGCGAGATCTATTCTGATGCGTTTATCAGCACAGCATCCSTTTCATTTTAGTTTTATTCGTTTGTGTTGTGTTAATTTCGACTGAGCTACAATTCGGCAAAAAAAAAAAAAGGTGAAGTTCGAAATACAAAAACAGTTTGCTGCACTCAAACAGCAGCACCTGAAGTGCACACACAAATAGGCCTACATGTTTAATTTCAACAGCTAAAGAAAGCAGGATGTAATGTAAAAACATCTTCCAAACAACTGTTGTTCTGAAGGCTATTGACATAATTTTGCTTAAAATATATAAAAAGATAATGCATGATAGTATTCGGATCTCAACTCAAAATTTCCATGCATAAACAAGTTCTAATGCCTTTATTTGTTCTATAACAAAACTGTATCTGCAGGACAGAGGCCGCCGCAGGCCAAGTCTAAACTATTAAGCTGAAGTTACCTTCCGATTCCAGCTTCCGATGAAATGACTAAAGGAATATTACAACTAATTTTTCACTTCCTTGAGCATGTTTATCTGCTCTAACTCAAAATCTACAGGACTCTTCAAACCTGGGTAAGATTATTCCGCACTAATAGTAGAATATTTATAGTTTGGAGATTTGGGAAAGCTTTTTCTGATTTGTGAAACGTCAACAAAGTCCATTTTCATCATTTTTTAGGCAGCTGGACCACATTAGACCTGGTCCAGCTCAAAAAGCACAACACCTAGACTCTTCAAACCAGGATTAGATTGTTCTACACTAACAGAAGAATGTTTAAAACAGGTTTGGGATTTGTGAAACCATTTTCTGATTTGTGAAACGTCAACAAAGTCCATTTTCATAATTTTTTAGGCAACTGGACCACATTAGACCTGGTCCAGCTCAAAAAGCACAACACCTAGACTCTTCAAACCAGGATTAGATTGTTCTACACTAACAGAAGAATGTTTAAAACAGGTTTGGGATTTGTGAAACCATTTTCTGATTTGTGAAACGTCAACAAAGTCCATTTTCATAATTTTTTAGGCAACTGGACCACATTAGACCTGGTCCAGCTCAAAAAGCACAACACCTAGACTCTTCAAACCAGGATTAGATTGTTCTACACTAACAGAAGAATGTTTAAAACAGGTTTGGGATTTGTGAAACCATTTTCTGATTTGTGAAACGTCAACAAAGTCCATTTTCATAATTTTTTAGGCAACTGGACCACATTAGACCTGGTCCAGCTCAAAAACCCCGACCTTATTGAACCTTTGTTGTG